GGATCTCCCTCTGTATCTCGTCCCGGGTATTTTCTAGCATGTATCTTTGTAGTGCCATGATTAGAGTTCGGGTTTGGAAAGGCGCTTGAGGATAGAAAAGAAAAAATTTTGGTGGAGGGTTAGGGTTGATGCTAAAAACCCCTAGAATATGGTTAGCGTTTGACGGGCTCTGATACTAAATGATACTGGAATAAACACAAAAATCATAATAAATAATATTTTATTGCTTAAATTAAAATAAAGTTACAAACAAGACACTTAAAAATGAGAAGATCACGACACAATGCAAAACTAAGGTGAGGAGTGACAGGGGTGACGACGTGTCAACGTGGGGGCCAAAGGAAAGTGGGAGGAGGTGTAGAGAGTTGTTAGAGCATTGGCAGCAGCAGGTGGGGTGACAGAGGGGGTTGGCGACAGCTGGCGAGGTCGACAGAAGAGTTGGCGACAACAGGAACAAATCAGGGATGAGTTGGCAGTAGCAGGAACATCGAAGGGATGGCCTAAAGGCAGCTGGTGAAGTGACTGGAGGGCTGGCAGTAGCAGGAACAGCAAGGGCATGGTATGGCGGTTGCTGGCGGGGGTGACTGAAACTCTGGTGGCAGCAAGAACAGCCCAAAGATGGGCTGGCGGCAGCAGGAAAAATGAAGGGTTGGCCTGACGGTAGTCGGTAGGAGGGAAAGTTGCTGGGAGGAGGGTCGACCACGGAGATGGTGAATAAGGTAAACACCACCTCAGAGCAAGATACAACCCTAATAAGGGTAAAGATGCCTAGCGACAGAAATTATGAAACCTGCAAGAGCAAAAAGCTCAATTCTAAGTAAACAAACAGCACAGGCACACACACACGCGGGCACACATAAAGATATATATATATTCTAGTAACTTCGGGTAATGGAACGACGCTCAGCAATTTGTTAGCTGTCTCCGGTCCTAAAACCAGAGGCAGAGACAAGACCAAGCTGGCTCGTACCTAGCAGCTTATTTCCTGCAAGTTTTATATTTTTGTGTTTTATCTATGTTTCATCTTTTTAGGATACTAGTGTCTGATGTATCGTATGGGTAGGGCACCTTTTTTTGGGTTCTCTCATACAGTCTCTATGTATCTTTTCAATTTCAATAAAATTAGCTTGAAGGGCCCAAACATGACACCTAGTTTACACCAAAACCACAAGTGATTCCAAGAAAATACAAAAAAGTACAGTAGAGACATAAAGAAAAAGCCTAAAAATGTTGAAATACAAAGTCTCAAGTGGCTAGAGAGCCACCCAATTTGGTTTTGCCTCTGCCTCTTGGTCTAGGGATGAGCGAGTGAGCAAGCTAATAAGTTGATAAGATGGTTGTCATTGTCAGTAGTAACCAATGTATCATCCAATATGTTCCCTAGCTGGACTCGGCCTCCATTCTTCTTCCTCCTGGAATAGACTTGTCATTCCTCTTGTCATTCCTCCTCTTCCGAAGATTGGCTCACCTGATCTTGGTCTAACGTGTGTTGGAGATGTGCATATTGTTGAATATTAGAAACAACAATATGTTGTACCGACTGATCTGCTATTGGATCAAATGAACACTCTCGTGTGTCTTGGCATGTGAGGGCATCTTCTTCAATAACAGTGGGTGGTATAAGCACAACTGGATCTGTAGTTGTAGTATGTTGTTCTTCTTCAAGAACTGCGGTGTTGGGAAAGAACTGCGGTGTAACTGCGGTGTTGGGAAGAGGTTCGGGTTGTATTTTCTCAACTGGGATAATAGGTGGCTGTTTTTTTGTGATATTTGGTCTTAGATGAGGATGCAATCGATAGCAAATAGTAGAATTGTGGCCAAACATACTACAACGAGAGCAATAAGGAGGGTGTAGTTCGATTTCAACATTTTGCCAATACCCGTTGTGAGTGGTTTCAATCCACACCTCATCTGAAGCTGGTTGAGTGATTTCCCTCTCAACTAACACACAAACCACAGAGGGTCTGGTGACAACAAGCGTAGGATTATCAACCTTAAGAAGCTTACCGTAAGTTATTGCTAAGGACTAGAGAATTTCCAAATTGAACAGATGTAATTTTAACCCAGGAAATTTTATCCAAACTGGAATGATAGGGGATTTCGCTTTTGGGTCGAAACCAACAGTCCACTTCAGAATTTTCATATAACGGTTGTCGATCTTGATAACTTTCCGAGAAAAGATGTGGGTATAATCAACATCATGAGACAACTGAATCAGTATGTACCGACCGTCAAGTAAACCAATATTTCAACTGCCCAATAACTTCATAGCCTCAAACTCTTTCCTAATGATCTCCAATTTTGGGTTACCAAAATGAAATTTCCCCACCATAGCAAAATGCCAAGAGGATGCGAGAGTAATGGTTTCAACCTCTGTGAGAATAAGAGCAGACTTCCCATTTTTTTCCCCAATTTTTTTATGAAGGTATGATCGCCACCTCCTTCAAGAACATCGTGAAAAGATTGAGGAACATTATAAAATTTACCTATACGAAAACCAGTCTCTGATTCTGAAAGAGGAGCACGAGTAGAAATCGAGAGGTCGCCGGCAAGTGCAGTAGCATAAGAACGGATAGCCATCTCTGCCGACAAGATTCTGTCAGACAGGAAGCGAGGAGACTTCGTCTGAGGAAATGCGAAAATGCGGGCAGAGCAGCAGCTCTGTCGCCAGACCGAGACGAGAGGACGGCGAAGGAGGTTGCGAAGGAAGGTTGCGAAGGAGGCGTCCTCGACAGACGAGGACGTCGTCTGGAAGGAAATGAGAAAACTCGGCCTGCCTTGTCGTCTGAAAGGATGCGAAGACTCGAGGACGTGAGGACGCGTGCACCCGTCGACGAAAACGAAGTAGGGAATAGAAAGAGATCCGTATAGCAGATGGGAGATCCGTGTAACAGAAAGCTAGGGTTCGCCATGAGGCGAAACGCCATGAGGCGAAACCCTAAACAGAAAGCTAGGGTTCGCCATGAGGCGAAACCCTAGCAGAGGGGAACGACACCATGCCGGCGTGAATCAAATATATTCAAATATATAGATAGAAAATGAAGAGGATATATATATAAAGGGGGTAGAAAAGGGAGGGAATATAATAGATAGAAAAGGAAGAGGATGGAATAGAAAGGGGGTAGAAAAGGAAGGGAATAGAATAGGCAAGGAGTCGAATAGGAGAGGGGAAGGAAGGAGTGAGAGCGGTAAATTTAGACCAACCTGCCAGTCCAGCCTCCTTGCTAAATAAGTCAGTTCAACCACGCCACTAAGCCCCGCATCAAAGAGACTAAGAAAATAGAATAATAAATGCCTTAAATGGTAGAATGCACAAGTTAACAATGAAGCAAACAAGGAGCTACTCAAAAAGTGGTTGAATCCTCAAAGGAGAGAATAAGAAAAACTCTTCTTTATTCAATTATTAACTCTCGACCAATTATAACATATGAAGTACTGTTTATAAAAATATGTCCTAATGAAAATTGCAAATCACCCTTAAATAAAAAATACTAATTAATTCTGAAATTAAAAAAAAAAATTGATTTAATAGGTACTAACAAAAATAAAACACAATATCAATAACATCTTGCATTGCATCAAGAAAAGTGCCATAGAAGAAAACTTAAGAGTGTAAGGAAGAAGAATAAAAGAGAAATATAAAGAAAAGGAGGAAAAAAAATGATCAACTTAATTGTCATGGTGCATTGCAAGCACAATATTTGTTAGAGTAAGCATAGTGATGATGTAAGTAAATGTGATGGTGCCTATATAAGTATAATGAAAAAGTTTTCCAAAAGCATTTAAGTAGAGATCTTTTGTGTTTTTCATCTCTCATTTTTCTAGCATAATTCTTGAATTTCTATAAGATGTTGCAAAATTTTCTCATTTATTCGGCTTAAGAGATTTGGGGATCCCCTTGGTATTGAGATTGTGAGTACAAGGGTTCTAAGGAAAATATTTTTATGCTTCATTTTCTTGTATGCCAGTGTAGCTTTTTCATAGACATTGCATCCCCACATTTTTCATGGAAGTAAACTATTATTTTAGAAAAATCACATAAATCATTATGACTTCTTATATTGCTTAGATGCTTTATTATTGTGTTCATCGATGTTCCTAATAGGTGCTTCCTCATCAACAAGTAGATTTACCTAACATCTTCTACCATCCTTCCTCTTACTCCAACCCATCCAAGTATCTATTTATTCTAAAAACACCCAATGCCAAGTCCTTATAAATAGGACAAAGGCTACATCACAAAATTGTAGGGTATTTTTTCTAGAAACCTCGCAAATGGTGACAAAAGAAAACATGAAATATTTTGATAGCCTTACGTTTAATTATTAAAAGGCAGAGGGTGTTCCTTGTGTACGAGCCATCTACCAAAATGAGGACTGAGAAAATGTTTGTATATAGATCTACCACTCAATTGCAAAAAGAAGATTTCCCTGATTAGAACTTATGACCTCTAACTCACAATGGAGTCCAACTAGCATCATAAAAATAATTATTTTGAATGAATATCAAGATAAATTAATAGCTTACAAAATCACAATACACAATACAAATTAATTCCATCGGTAAAATGCATCTAGCATTCCACTATGCAACATTTTTTATTAAGAAAAAAAAAAACTAAAACACAATTATGCATATCACAACTACAAGGTGTTCACAATATGGGAGGCTACTGCCAACATTAGGAACTGTAAACAAGTTGATTCGATGATTCTAACTCATGCCCTCCGTGCTAAAATAGATGCTACTTATTTATTGTTGTAGGCAATTATACATGTTACTATAGCCAACAAATAATCCAACTTGAAAGAAAAGTCTATGCTATAAACAATTATGAAATAACTACTAGAAATTATCACTATAAGTAAAAAATGAAATAATTAATTAAATTTCAGTTAAAAAATCCTAAGTAATTTGTAAATAAAGAGGAAAACTAAATGCTTAATGAAAACAATATTTGTAATGTATATATGATGGAAAACATCTAAACAAGAAGTTACCTCCCAAATGATCACCGATTTATCATTGGAAGAAGAAGCTAAATATTTCCCCTCGTGAGAGAACTGCAAGCACCATACTTCATTATCATGCCCTCGCAGTACCTATTTCAAATAAACAAAATAGATAAACTATGAAGAATTATGGAAAAAAAAAAAATAGAAAATACGTAAATAGGCCTTTAAGAAAGATATATGGAGAAAGTTTAAAAGTATTGGTGGTGTTCACTTTTGACTCATAATACATTACAAACGTCATAATTTTAGATCTCCCAAGCAAATATGTGGTGGGACAAGAAATCACATCAGCGGCAAAGAATAAGTTTTTGGTACAATTTATTTTCCCTGATGCTATGTACTATGATTGTAAGCTTATTTGAATTTAATGACAAATAAATAATTATAGCCACTGCTCTAATATGCCACCAATGCAAATCCATGGATGTTGATGCACACATCCGTACTCATGCAAAAAAACATGCTATTTTTGTGATTCAATATTCTAAATTTCAAGTCACAAAAGAGACAACCTCACTATTTCTCCACGACATCCTCTAAGCTATGACAACATAAGCTTATTTAAAAACATTTCTGGCCATGTTGACAAGGAACACCAACAAAACATTATGAAACAAAATGCTTCAATACAAAAAGAGCAAAGTCCTTGTTGCCTCAACCAGACAACTTAACTTCTATTTGACATATAATCATTTTCATAATTTTACAAGGATCACTTTATATATTTTATGTTTTACCATGCAGCACATATTTAAAATATTAAACAAAAAATGGGCTAAATATCATAAGCATTTCTTGTGCCAATAAACTATTCACACTTAAGCTCCGCATTCGCGCAAAATCCTAGTCAATATAACAATATGATTCGTGCCTTATTGGATTCTATATGGAGAGAGGGGAGAGTTACATTAGAGGTGGGATAATCCTATCTTTTCTAGCATTATTTTTCTTTTTTATCAAACTTTTCAACAATTAGTTCCCTTTTTCTCTTCTTCAGCAATCATGATTCCCAACTATCTTGAAAGAGGGTTGAGTTCATAGTCTTTGTAACTTGGCTATTAGCATGCATCAAGATTTTCTTTAAACCCCACAACTCATTGTTCTGATTGAATCAGGCTTAAGTGATTAGTAATGCACATTCATGCTGATCAATTCAAATTCAGAGAGATGGGTCAAGTTGCCACCAATCAAGGTTTAATTGTTTGAGTTCATCAAGCCAAATCAATTGGTTCATTGAATCAAACAATCCATAAGGCGACTCCCAAGAAGGATTGTTAACTATAAGTTGCTGAAAATTAGACCAAGAACCCAACAAACATAAACATCCAAGGCAAGTAGGCCACCAATACCCAATCAACAAAACTAAAATGCCAGTCTTCTATTGACGATAGCCAAACATCAATACCCACTAAGCAATATTCAGTTGAAATTACTTTACTTGCAATAGCTGTCAGTGCCACATACTTACCTAATACTTAATAGCAGTTTCCCATTAATAGTATTCTGCTAAAACATACAATAGCAAATCTTTATCCCACTAAGTGGGGTCAACTACATGAATCTTTTTTCTCTATTATTGAGTGTCATATTTTAAAAAAACAATATCCTGCTAAAACATACTCATTTTAAAAGAGGGCTTCCAATAGGTGTCATTTTAAAAAAGTCTACATTTCTATCTATAAATACATTTGATTACTAAAGATAGTGATTTCTTACATACTCAAGCATATATTGTTGATCATAATTCAAGCCTAAAAAAGGGGTTAAGCATCCAATGTTGAGGGATAACTTTTCGGAGGATTTTATCTCTCTCTCTCTCTCACACACACACTTTAATGTTGTTTAGAACTTTTCCAAATTTAAAATTCTTACATCATCAAGACAATTCACTTATAATTTCTTCTATTTTTTAAGCTTCCATGAAATGAATTTTTAGGAGATCAAATAAGAAAGAGGAAAGATTTACCCCGCAACTCATGGGATAGGGCCAACACAAAGTTAGCCAACCTCCTCTCGTTAAGTGTGTTCAAACTCAAACTCAATCCACACTCAAAATCCTAGAAATCCCAAGTACAATTTGACTAATTTCTAAGAGAAAAATTAAATTCTAACACAATATTTTTGTATTACTCTCAATTTCTTTTACGTAAATACAAAAAATTCAAGCACCAAAATCAATAACAAAAATTGAAAAGAATAACCAACTATGCTAAATGGTGGTACCCTTAAAGATGCATATTCTACCAACCTACGATAAAAGAGAGAAGTGCATTACTTCTTGAGCAGTGAATGGAGTGTGGAGCTTGTCAATAATAGAAAATCTTACACCGAATTAGTAGAAACATAAGAATGCTAAAAAGAAGTTTGGCAACCAGCCTAGCGTATTATACATGAAACACAAAAGTGATATGTGATATAACACAACATATGGGCATAGAAAATTCCAATTTGAATGTATAAATTCAATAAGGATTGCAGTGCACGTGCACGCTAACAAATTAGACATTCGAAGTATTAAAAAAGCAATGTAAACTTTTGTGACGTACCTTATGTTGGTAATTATAATTTGCATAATAGCAACATGGTTTATTACACATCGCTTTTTAAGACTTGGAATCAATGGGGAGTGATTTTGGGCTAAATATACTGGTGGTCAAATTTGCTTTCCGGCCAAAGGTTAAAGTCTGTCAGCAAGAATCAACAACTTAGTATTTCTACATCAACATTGTATAACAAAATGTTATACTAAGCCCTCTCGCATGCCTTAAAGAACATCTTCCCGTCAATTGTATCACTCATCACTTCCACTCAAACTCCCACTCAAATAAAATCATCAAGTAACATACACTAATATCCGACTCAATCATGTAGAAATGTCATAAGAATCACAAGCTTCTAAACTCTGTCCAACCAAAGTGGAGAGACTAAAATTCATAAGAATCTCAAATTACATGAATCACTTAATCCCAACTAATCCATTCATAATACCTATAAAAGAGTGTGGAGCCAAATTGGAATTAAAGTTGGGCCGAAGGTTGAAATCACTAATAACCCAAAAGCTCAAGTAGATTGGAAGGAAAAACCACTTAGTAGTTCTGATTAATGCATTTTTCAATAATCCAAAGTGAAACTAAACTATCTTAACATTGATATATAACATTGTTTGGAAACCATATAGAAAATGCAATAAGAAACTAGAAAGCAAATGTTCTCATATTATAAGAGCATCCAAGAAGCATCAAATACAACTTTGGTAAGTTGAATAAAGATGCATCTGGCATACCGAACACAAGATTCGTTAACCATGTGTATCTAAGTGTCTCAAGATCCAATAAACAATGTATATGGCTCTAGCATCTTTCGCATCAAAGCAAAATTATTTGAATGTGAGATAAGGATATTGGCGCAATTTCCATAAAAGGTTAGGGATCTGAAATATGTATATAAAATAATTAAGTAAGAACCTAGACATGTACTAGGTTCTAACAACAGCCAAACAAGTACTATGGTTATAATAACAGCCAAACAAGCTATAATGTGGAATATCCTAGTTGAATTTCATGTTAAATTTCAGCTCTGATATCATGTTGAATTTCAAAATAATTTGGAATATCAAAACAATTTCATCGATATGAAAGGGGGTATAAATAACACTGACATGAATCCTAGAATAAAAAAGATAATAAAAGGAAAATGATGTGAAAGAAAAGATATATCAATTAAAATCTCCAATAATTAATTCACATTAATTATTAGGAGATATTCAAAATAGCATAAAATAATAAAACACATAATTCCTAATTCAAGGAAATAAAAATAAAATAATAAAGGAAATATCTTCTTAATCTAAGGAAATAATTTATTCCTTATAACTTCCTACAGGAATAAATTATTTCCTGGTATAACTCCTAACACTCTCCCACAAGTTTGGAATGTATGTTAATAATTCCTAACTTGTTGAGTAGTATGGAGAATTGAGAAGAGTTTAGTGGTTTTATGAAAACGACCACTGACTGCTCTTTTGTGGAGTATCAAGGTAGTAGAGTCATTGTCTTTTAGTTCCCGTCCCAATCATCTTCCTTTATTGCTCGTCCTGAGATATCATTCATGGCTAATATACTGCCAACATGATTAGCCATTGAATTAGATTTGTTCTCTGCAAGTAGTGACATGAGGTTTTGATATTGTTCGGCTGTAAGGGTGAATGGTGCAGAACTCGTCCGTGTATTGGCATCCGCATGGTTGGCTTTGGAAGCAGAATTTTTCCATTCAGGTTTGTTGCCGGCAAGATTGGCCCTTTGCAGCTTCCTACAGTCATTGATGGTATGTCCCTACCATCCACAATAATCGCATTTGAGATGTGATAGGCACGTGTCTGAGATATGCCCAATTTTGCCACATTTTTCACACTTAATAAAGATTTTTAGGCGTGAAAAGCCTCTCTGGTTTTCGTGTGTTTCTTCACGGCAAAAGTCGAAGCTTTCGGTTGCGGTGCACTTACAGTGATCATCTCGCGATGTTTTTCCTCTTGGAGCATGAGAGAATATGTCTTGCTGACATTGGGAAGAGGATCCATGAGCAAAAACTGTCATTTTATACTAAGCCCCATGAGAAATTTCATGGTTTTATGGTTTTATTGAAACTGTATCACTTCCTTCATGGCACCACACGTGCATTTAGGAATGTTATAGAAGATATGACGTTCATACCATAGGCCTTTAAGCTTAGTGTAATAAGCTCTAACTGTCATATCGTCTTGCTTGCAATCATGGATGGCTTCTTCAACATGGAAAATATGAACGTCGTTGGTATGAGAAAAACGTTACTTCAAGTCGAGCCAAATTTCATGGGCACGCTCATTGTATATTATACTTGCTCCAATGTCTTCTGCAATTGAATTAAACAATTACGCCTTGACAAGGTTGTTGCAACGCCTCCATTGTTGAAGTTCTGCGGTGGACGTCTTTGGTGGTTCTTTGACGATGTCGTTGAAAAATTCTTTAGAAAACCAATAAAGGGGAACCAACAGCATTTAGGGTGAAAAACGATGGCAGCTAGGGGAATCGACGGCTATAGATTTTCTGGAGGCCAGCAGAGTCGAAGCTCTCGGTTGGTCGGCCAGCAGACAAAGCTTGCAGAGAGAGAAAAATAAAAAATCATTGGTTCAAATACCAAGATTAGTGCCCCTCCCTTCTCGCACAAAGGAAGGCAGGAAAGGAGTCCGACAATTCTTAAAGAAGGACCGATGGCTAGAGTACAAAATTAAGCTCTGATACAATGTTCAATTTCAGATAATGCGGAATACAAAAACAATTTCATTGATATGAAATGGGGTATAAATAATCCTTACATGAATCCTAAAATAGAAAAGATAATAAAAGAAAAATGATGTGGAAGGAAAGATATATCACTTAATATCTCCAATAATTAATTCATATTAATTATTAGGAGATATAAAAAATAGCATAAAATAGGAAAACACATAATTCTCAATCCAAGGAAATAAATATAAAAAAGGAAAGGAAATATCTCCTTAATCTAAGGAAATAATTTATTCCTTATAACTTCTTACAGGAATAAATTATCTCCTAGTATAATTCCTAACAGTATGCACCTAAAAAATCTAGTTAGGTGATCAACTGATCAATAAAGGTCCACCCTTAACAAGGAGCATTCTATGAAAACAAGCTCACAATACAATAAGTTTATGATGTCGAGAATGAAGGTTGGGGAATACTTCAGCTGTCAGTCAATTTCTCTGAAGTGAGCTAAGGATCTCATCTGAATAATCACGCTAAGAATCTAAAGTGATAGATAGCTGAGGTTATTTATACCATGAATAGGGTTGCAAATGAATCAACTATTCTAAAAATAACTCGTGACTTGACTCAATTAGAATTTGGTTATGATCATTTGAGTAACTAATCAAATAAACTTGAAAACTTCTATAAATACTTAGTTATTAAATGAATAAGAATGAAATTCTTGGACAACTTCTAGTTAAAGATCGTGATTCACGAATAATTTTGTTAAGAAGAATGATTAAGACTAAAAAATAAAGCTCGATTAAGACACGATGTTCAAGAAGACATCCACAGATGAAGTGACGTGTGAACAAGCTTGTCTCAATAAGGCTGAACTTGATAAGATGAGCATGTTCAATTAAAGTCTCATTTGATAGGTTCAACAAACTCGGTTCGATAAGATTCATTTAATTTTCAAATAAGCTAAGTGTTAAAATCTCGTTAATCACAATGTGAACAAACTCGATTCAAGCTCAAACTAACCTCAAAGTAGCTTTTAGTAAATGAGATCGAGCTTAAACACTATCACAAAAGCTCAAATTGAGCTCAATTCGAGCTTTGCATAAGCTTTTAATAAATGAGTTCAGGCTCAAACAATTTTCTGCTCAGCTTATTTTGTTTCATTTCATTTGCAACCTTGGCTGGATGAATGATAAATAAAATTGCTACAGAAAACAGCACACTTAACGCCTTGAAATGTAAGGCCTACAAACTTGTCTTTTTAGCAAATTTTTAACAGAAAATACCAAAAAAGCATATTTTTCTTCACAATCTCTCATGATTATAACCAGCTAAATCAGTTTAGATGCTAACTTTACAAGCAATAAGAGCTCTTGGCAATCTCTCATAAAATTTTGAAATGCCGTGGCTCTTTTCTCAAACTAGAAACTTTGCTAAAAAGAAGATAAGTGAAGCTCACCTCAGTGATAAAAAATAAATCTTAAGCTTCACAAAATAATAAAGAAATGGCTAACGATACATGAGCATAAAGCTGAAATAGATGACTACAATATGGATAATAGTACCAACAAAGCAAAATATTCTATAAATTTGTAATAACAGCAAATGCATATGCAGATAAAACAAATAAAATATATCTATAACACAAAGTTCAAACCTGGAGTGTTTTAGAAGGTATCTGGTCTTTTCCACATTGATGATCGGTATATAGTGAAAGTGACTTATCTAAGGAGTTGTGAAGGAAACAAGTTTCCCTTTGAAGACAAAGTGCCTGTTCAACCAAATTCTCTAGCCTCCTCTCAGGTATCATAACAGATGGAGGAAAAATTTTATGCAATTCCTCTAGAAGCTTCAATCCTAATTTTTCAGAATCAATATCCATATTTGCAAAACCAAGTATGCCATGTCGTGAGGATGATACAACACAGCTAGAAAGTTCATGCAAACGTTTTATGTTAATTTTGAGAGGAGCAATCTCACTTCTCAGCGTCTTCAAAGCATCCATGACTTCATCCTTCTCAAGATGGTTAAGAAATTTATATTCCCATATCAAAAACGATGCAGATTTCAGAATATGTTCGTCTAAACCAATCTTCTGAAGTGTTGCAACACTTTCATCCCAGTTACCATCCAGTATTTGCTTTCTAAAATGACTTACTGTAGATGAATATAAATTTATTCCTGATTCCTCTTCAAGAACCTTTCCACTTTTCTCATAACCGAGAGAATATAAGGCTTTCGTAATAATCCTAATAAATTCTACCTTTTTAATAACACCATTAGAACCAACCATATCTTCTTTCACTAAGGATGGAAGAGGCCTAGCCATTGGGCCTCCCAAATTAACAATGGAAGCTTGAAGAGATGACTTATTTGAAATGCTGTCCAATTCAACTGAAGATCCTTTTACACGTTTAAAAGGTGGTTCAGTTTCATCTAGACCTCCCATGAAATACAGATTCAGCCCATTTATTTTCAATAAAGGCCGGAAAGGAAATCCGGCAAACAGCTCCTCGTGCACAACGACAAAACAGACTATAATAGGTATCCTGAAAATATCATCAGAGATTTAAAATCCCAGAAATCTTAAGCAGACGCACAATTAATTTCTAAAATGGAGAGCTAGAGTAACATATAATCAGCTGAATAAGCTAAAAATCAGATTGGAAAATAGTGAATTATGAAAAAACACTTTAATAAAAGAACGAAGTCAGCTCCAAGGAAAAAAAAAAAAAATAACAGAGTAGATGATAAATGATTCTCCCTTAAAAAGCTAAGACAAGATATAGCGGTATCAGTTTATTACAGATGAAACATGTGGTGTACATTACAACAAAAATTATGATGCTTTATCTTTTTTCTTTTAATTTTTTTGGAGGATTGCTCATATCAATAGTAACAAAAAGTGATCACCACAAGAAAAAGATTCTTAAAAACCAGATTGCCTGATTTCTAATGAAAATATACAAAAATAAGAGCAGAAAATAAAATATAGCGATCAATGAAATATGTAGGACAAAATAAATCACTAGCTTCGACTATCTTATGCATGTTGACAGTTACATTGACCAGAAGTAAAAGATCGATGATATATCAAGCAGAGAAGGCATAGTTCTTGTTGAGCATTACATGAGTTATTAAAACCACTCTTCAAAAGTCATTTAACTAACCGCTCTCAATGTTAAATTAGAACCAGTGATTAAAATTTTTAATCCTTCAACACTAATTTTATCCAACCATCTAATCAACACATTTTTTACCCTTCATTGTTTATGTCACATGTCCGTACCACTCAATTCTTATCTATTTACATATCTAACACCAAAGTTTAATACTAACATTCATAAAACGTTGCTATCATAAACCTATGCATTAAAAAGTATATTTCACTTCTAAAAATCTAGTAGATGTGAGTATGTTTTACATAATTTTAATGATTTACGGGACACACACACACTAAACATTCACCACAATAAAAAGATGAATGTTTAGATGTTAGATATGCAAATATACAAGTGTGTGGTTAACCGCCCCATAACCATATTGCCAAACAAGACATTAAAATACAGGACCCAGTAACATAATACTCACACAATGCAAATGTCATAAAAAATTGAAATTAACACCATAAACTCTCCAAAGTCAACAAATTTCATCAACATTCCAGCACTCTTTCTGAAATTTTCTATTAATTCAATAGTTATTATTTATGCATTCATACAATTGCAACAATAAAAACAAAAGCCAGTGGGCATAGTAATTCTAGAAGCATTAATTCACTAAACCATCTGTGGAACAAGTTTTAGCTAAATGATAGAAGCCATAAAGCAGATTATCTCAAGCACTATAAAAATATTCATCTCGATAACTATATAGAATCTCAAAAAATATATACAGTCTCTCTAAAGACATCCATTTCACCTAGCCACTGAAAAGCTCTTCAACTCCCGGTAAAAAAAAAAGGCAGAGAATGGTCAACAAAAAACCAAATAAGAGGCAACAAAAAACCAAAAAAGGAACTAGCAAATCCATCAAAAAAATTAAGGAATAATAAGACAATAAGAGATTTCTGAGCTCTAAACTTGCCGATTACTATGGATTCCACGGATCTACAACCAAAGATAAAACCGCCCAAATCGCCGACACTGCTGCGGACGAAAAAACGACAGAATCTACGAAACCCAATAGGTGAATAAGATTAAAGCGCTGATTTTTACCTCAAAATCTCGAGCTAGAAGGAAGGAATCACCCAAAAGGGTGAGAGTAAAAGAAAGCGACACAAAACCTTCTTGGTGTGCAAGAAGACCTCCTACTCCCTCCTGTGATGTTGTGATTGAGGCTAAAATATATTGTTGGCCTCAGAAGTAAGCCGAAGGGGGACTGAGAGAAGATGGAAGAAGATGGAAGTAAATGAGGCCAAAGGCCCATATACATGATCATCTACAATGCATGACACTCCATTATAATATGTTATGACATGATAATCTTATGTACCCATAAACAAGTCATTTTAAGTTTCAAATTAAGAAAAAAATAATATTCTCATGTTTTTTAATGATTAATTCAAATACTAAAATCTTTAATTGATCATGACTTACTTTTTTTTTCTTTAGGGGTTTACTTTTCACTCACTCTCACTCAAGAGTTGGCATTTGGCTGGCAACTTTATTTGCGAAAGTTAAAGGATGTAACTAACATATGACATTTTTCTATTTTATTCGGTCAATTGTCATTTCTTTTTTCATTTTTAATGACACTATTCTTGAAAGATAAATGATTTTTCTTTCATTTTTTTTTATCGTTGATTATTTTCATCATTAAGATGTTTGAATTTTGTAACTCATTTCATGTTTTATTGAATTTTCACAATCATTTAATAATATCTTAATTTTTAAAATATATAAGTTTAATATTTTCTAAAAATTATGCTCAATAACAAGTGTGTTTATATATCACTAAGTTATGGTATGTATTTATCCTTATGTTTGCACTAGTGCATCATAGTATACCATGTTTTTACATATGTTTTGGTACATATGATGATCATGATAGTAAAAGTATAGTTTTGTAACTTACAAATAATTTTACATAAAAAGTCTTGAAATATTGAAGTGTGCAGGTGTAAATGTTGTTGGTAAAACATTTAAAAATTATGTTCTGTCTTTTAACTTTTAATCCCTTCTATATTAATCCAATACCATTTTATTATAATTTTTTAAAAAAATATTAAAGGACACATGCTTTTTAATCATTTTAAATAATGATAAAAAATGTTTATAGATGTAATCACTTATCCTCAAAGCAATTTAATTAACTTAAAGATTACTTAACAAAAATAATTTGAATATGTGGTCGATTTTTTACTAAAGTGAAGGAGCCTTAGCATGAAATACAAATCACAGCTTAAAGAGCAATATATTGTCACTTAGCTTAGAAGATGGGTATAAATTATAGCGACTCTTTTGTTAAATTTGTCCTAAATAAAGACATTTTAAATATTGTTAATAAAAGTGACTAGCTTGTAAACCAATGTTTCCTCCCTAGTCACGAATAACATTAACTTTGATGATAAAAAATAAAAAAAATTGTAATGTAAACCCACTAAAAATTGAAGGTAATACATAAAATCAAAATGGTAATTAGTTGTGAGCCCATCTAGACCTCCCGACAAAAAGGCATGAGAAGGTTTGACTTTTAAAAAATTTTGAATAAAATATATCCATATAAAAGGAAATGTGCTAAAGATTGTTTACAAACTAATAAAATAGGGAACAAAAATTGTGCTTGAAGAAGTTGGAAGACAAATAATTCAAACTTTTGTCTATATTTTTTATTGCCTCAAGCACACTATAAAGATATTTTGTATTAAAAAATTAATTAGAAGGTAAATATAAAACAATAAGTGCTGACTTCAAAGTCATTTTTGATAGAGCTCGGAGATTTGGCATCCATGAAAACATATGTGAATTTTCAAAAAATGCCCAAGGTGTAATAGTTTTGATATTTGTTGTATAACACTTTCATATTACTGATGCACTATCATTAAATATGAGTGATCTATCCAATTGCATGGCTTGTGTATTTTTTACATGGGTGATGTTGTGCACCTACTTCTTATTATGTCATATATTATAGAGGTTTTGTCGTCCTTACATATAAATGGTGTATCATCAGAGTTACTTATTGAATTTGTTGTCTTATCTTGTCCAATAAATAGCCCATTATTATAGATATAGTAGATATTTTATTCCTTATATCTAAAAATGGGGAAAATTTTCCTATGCTAATTTTGTCTATATTTACAATTTTGACAATTTATGATTTTGATATAGAAGTTCATGGAAAAAAAATCCACTTTGACTCCATTTAATGACTTTTATCATACGTGAGAATTCCTATTTCTCATGTTATAATGAAGAGCCAATTGATCAAAATAATAATTGTAATTTAATAGATTTAATTTATGATGTGAAGCATAGAAAAATCAAATGATTTTTATTTTTAATGTTGAACATCCTAGCACTGGTCTTAAGAATGATACCGTGGAATAGAATTTTGTTACATATAACAAAAAAGTTTAATTTTTATTTTATTTTATTATTTTTTTTTTGTTGTAAAGCATTTTGTGTATTTTAAGTAAGTTTATTATACTACCTTAAATTTCTTATAAAAAAAAAAAAACTTCAAAACATTATTGTAGATATTATACATAAAAGATATTTTGAATTATTAATGTTAAACTGTGTATATTAATTTATTATAGAAACTCTCATATTAATGACACTTGTCACATTTTATAGATTTTATAACATATTTATTGACCTTCATATATATATCAAAATTATGATTTTCTTATGCCTATAAATCAAAAATGTTTATGCAAAAAAGAGAAATATGGGGGAAGTGTAGTTGATTGGATGGTTGTATTTTTTGTGCATTCAAATGATGTTATATAGGTCTGTGAACCTATATAATTATCATTATGTGTGTTTGATATGGATGTACATATGTAGATAAGTTATGGTATAAGCATAAATAAATGTTTAAAACATGACAAAAAAATGTTATTAAAGATTTTATAGTTTAAAACATTATTTTATATTATATTATTTTATTTCTAACATCATGTAAAAATAACTATTTATTTGTTGCTTTTAAGATATGCCTGTTATATGTGACATATTGAGATATTATATTAATTCACTACATGTAGTTTTACTATATTTATTACTATTAAAATTAATATATAATTTTCCTGTTTTGCATGCTCACATATGTTGTAGCAAGCCAATACTTCTTTTATTTTTAATACTTATTTTTGATAAAATTATGTTTTAAAGGAAGGTATTTCCATGTTTTTGTTGCATGTATCAAAGGTAGGAGATTTGGAGCAAATTAGAGTGGAAAATGAGCTAAAAGGAGGCGAATTGAGCAATGGAGCAAATAATGACATGGCGCCTAAGCGCCACTCCTTGGTGTCGCAAATGGTCGCTTAGGCGCCATACTACGTCCAAAAACCCGAGTAAGTGGCGCCATGGTGCCATATACTGGTGCCTAGGTGTCGGTTGTTTCCAAGGCATTCCCGAGAAAATGGCACCCTGGCGCCAGAAGTATCATGGATAGTTTTTTGCAGCAGTTGTGCACGAAAATGAAGATTAATCCTGTGTGAAGGAGTTCGGAAAAAAAGGAGAACATTTGGAGATGTCAAGAAAAAGCACAGGAGTGCAGAAAAGGAGAGGAGATCTATATTTTTTATTTTTTTTATATTTCCTTATAGAGATTTGAGTGGAATTGTAAGGGATTGTTGTTAGCAATGCAAGGAAGGTTGGAGATTACTTGGGGAGGAGTTTTCACTTCTTTTCTCATGGAGAAAGAAAAATTTTATATTTCATCTTGTCTTGTATTAATGCAAACTCATTGACAGCGACTTTATATATGCTTAAAATTACAAGAATTTGATATTGCTGCTAGAAGATTTAATTCTCCGGCAACGGCGCTAAAAACTTGACAGCGCGGTTATAGATTTGCGGTTATAGATTTGATAAAGAGGTGTATAAAATATTCAATAATTGCAAAGTCACACTTATCAACGCAATTATACGTATCGCCCAAGTAATACAGAGCTCTAATGGAGTCATGAATATCGATCCCACGGGGAGTAATATTAGAGGCTACGAACTAAGATTTTAGAAAATCAATTTAAATATGTAATTTTGATAACTCTATAAATTATGTAATAACATCTTAGATGTAGATAAATATGTAATTTTAATAACTCTTAAATAACTAATTCTACTAATAAAGTTTCTAATGTGAAGTTCAATTTATAATAAAACATCATTCTTCTTGTCAAGAAATTAAAATGAATGGATAAAGTGAATTAGTTCAAATTGTATTGTGTCAAATAGAAGCATACATATTATTTACCCTTTGGTCCAGGCATAAAGAACGTTGGCTAATTCTATATTTGATTACTGAATCTGCGGCTAGGCTAGGAGGATACCGACTCTCCCTTATGCGCTCTCACCTTCC